AAAGCCAACTGGGTGACTTTGGGCCAATCCCCAGGAGACGGGGAGTTCTAGTCCCACCTTAACCACGAAAGCCAATCTCCAGTAGACAGGGAGTTCTCCGCTAAGAAACCAGCATTTGGGACCTTCTCTGTCCCTTCACCCAGTTCCCTTCCAGAAGGCCAGTTTAGGCCAGTGGTTTTCAAGTTCGGCCCCTGTAAAACATGCAGACTTCACCTCCCAGAATTCCCCACCAACCAGCAAAGCTCCCCTAACAGGCCCTTACTTGGCCTCCAAAGCTAGTGCAATCAGGCCAGCTGCGAGGGGAGCCGAGGCGGAGGTGCCCGTATGACCGCTTGTGCAGGTGTGACGCAGATCGGTAGTCACCTGGAGAGAGGAATCAAACAACATTGACGGTTCCGCTTAAGCTTCTAGTCCTCAAGGGTAGGACTACATGTCTCCTTTCCCTGACCTGGTCAAGCGGCTGGGCTGCCATCCCGCTCTTCCTTCCACCGTCCCTCTTCCTCCAGTGATTGTGTCAGGCTGAATGCCCGTCACTTTCTCCGTTTTTTTTCCTCGAATGACAAACTGCTGGGGACCTTCTACCGCTGCACCATAGAGGGTATCTTAACTTACTGCACTTCTGTATGGTTTGCCAACTGCACGGTGGCAGATAGGACGGCGCTCCAGAGGGTGAACGTCATTGCCCAGAGGATCATGGGTTGCCCTCTCCCCTCTTTGGAAGAGCTTTAGAGCTCCCGCTGCCTTAAGAAAGTTCAAAACATCCTCAAAGATCCATCTCGTCCTGGGCACCCTTTTTCTTTTTTGGAACTATTACCATCTGGCAGACGGTACAGAAAAATAGTAAAAAACAAGGACAAATAGGCTGAGAAACAGCTTCTATCCCAGGGCAAGTAACTCTCTTGCGTTCTACTGTATAGCGCAACATGAATGCAATGTCAGGGGTTTTCAATGCAATTGTATAAAATGGGAAGGATTTTTTTTTTAAAAAAAATAGTTATAATGTACCCCGAAGATGGCTGTCAACTCGTAAACATTCCTATGCCTGTTTCAGTAGCTGCCATAAAAAATGGGGGGTGGGGAGGAAGGAAAACTGGAAGAGCCGGGCAGCAGTTTGGAAGCAAAAGTACATTCCAGCTCTTCGCTTTAAAAGATTGTAGCTAAACTACCAGAGCTTTTTGCCCAAGGAATATATTTCATTGGAGAACATGATTGAGGACACCCAGCCCGTGAAGTTGCTCGGTTGGAGAATCTGATTTATGACACACCCAGGGGGGAGGTGGAGAAACAGGGTCCCAGGGGACTGTGAATGACGTAGGCCAGAGTTGGCTTCATACAGGGCGGGGCCAGGATGTCGCCTCTAATGAATCCTTGGAAGTGTTTTGAAGTTTGGCTCGAGGATCAGGATTTCATTAGGGCGATTTGCTGGGATCCTGACAATGGCATTTAATTTCGTTGTACGAGGTGAAATGACAATAAAGTCAACTAAACCTAACTGGGCTGCCCTCCTGCTCTTCCTCCCACCTTCCTTCCTCTTCCTCCCACAATTGTGTCAGGCCTAACTGCCCGTTATGAGAAGAGGATGGATTTTTTTTTAACTGATTTGTGGAACGTCCCGGTTTCTGGGACCGCTCCTCTGGACAGATATTTGCTTCGCTTGACTCGGCTCTAGAAGTAAGCCAGGCTGCATCTGAAGCCGAAAGGCACACTGAAAATGTGGATATATTCTGCGGCGCCCAAATCCAGGACTGTCTTCACTTTGGGGGCTGCCGCTGCACACGGCTGGCTCGTGTTTTAGGGATCGTCCACTAGGGATCATCCACAGTGGCTCAGTAGCTAAGGCGCTGAGCTTGTCGATAGGAAAGGTCGGCACTTCGGCGGTTCGAACTCCTAGTGCCAGGTAACGGAGTGAGCTCCCGTTCCTTGTCCCAGCTTCTTCTTCCAACCTAGCGGCTCGAAAGCACGTAAACAAATGCAAGTAGAAAAATAGGGACCCCCTTTGGTGGGAAGGTAACAGCGTTCCGTGCGCCTTCGAAGGCGTTTAGTCATGCCGGCCACATGATCACGGAGACGTCTTCGGACAGCGCTGGCTCTTCTTTGGCTTTGTAAATGGAGATGAGCGCCGCTCACTGGAGCCGGGAACGACTAGCACGGATGTGCAAGGGGAACCTTTCCCTTTTCCCACTAGGATTCCGCGACCGCACTTGAGCCAGGTTTCGCCTAATCTATACCTGCCCCTTTGGCTTTGCCCTGCCCAGCTCGCTTGTTATCTTTCAGGTACCTTTCCCCTTTCAGGGTAGAGGGAAAGATCCGATCCCCTTGCCTGCCTGCCTGCCTGCCTGCCCGCCCCTCGTCCGAGAGCCTCACAATCTGCTTCTCCCCCTTGGCCCCGCTGCTGTAGGTGGCGGTGAGGGTGGAGGCACAGGCCTCGGTGTACCACGGCACCCGGCCGCTCTCGGTGGTGCTGCCCACGGATAAGGTGTAGATGCTGTTGGTGTAGCCATCACAATTGCAGTTGTCCTTCCGGAGGCCGCCGTTCCCGGAGGCCCAGACGAAGAGAGAGCCCAGACCTCCGCGTCCCTGCGAGAAGGAAGAAGGAGGGTCTCCCGTCAAAGGCAGGAAGTCCTCGGCTTACAGCGGTTCATGTGAGTGGCTGTTTTTTTCACATTTACCGACGTTGCAGCAGCCCCAGGGGGATTAAAATTTACTATTTGTGACAGTTTCGAGCCGCTGAGGGGTCGCTCTGGGTTCAGCTCCAGTTTAAACAAGGGAACTTGGGCTGCCATCATCCAGCAGAACAGATGGATCTTGGACAATTCCCCACGGCCAACTTGCCGTGGGACGCAAGTCACGCGACGTCAAAGAAAGGCGGAATGGACTCGTGAAAGGAAGGATGCAAAAGGAGGGACGAAAGAAAAGGTCTGTAAAAATGATTGTCAAGAAAGTCATTGAATTGTCCCAGGGGAAGTTGGCCATGGTGAGTTGGCTAAAGCAATAGCAGCATAGACTTGTATACCGCTTCCCAGTGCTTTTACAGCCCTCTCTAAGCGGTTTACAGAGTCAGCCTCTTGCCCCCAACAATCTGGGTCCTCCTTTTAATGATCTTGGAAGGACAGAAGGCTGAGTCAATCTGGAGGCTGGTCAGGATTGAACTACTGGCACTCAGCAGAGTTAGCCTGCAATCCTGCATCCTGAACAATGTGCAACATGGGAAGGAAGGAAGGAAGGAAGGAAGGAAGGAAGGAAGGAAGGGAGTGAGGGCAATAAAAATAGCACTTATATACTGTTTCACAGTGCTTTACAGTCCTGTCTAAGCGGTTTACAGAATCAGCCTATTGTCCCTTTCTTCCTTCCTTCCTTTTCTTCCCTTCACTCTCAGCACTTAAGACTTATATACCACTTCACGGTGCTTTCCAACCCTGTCTAAGCAGTTACAGAGCCAGCCTCTTGCCCGCAACAATCTGGATCCTTATTTTACTGACCTCGGAAGGATGGAAGACTGAGTCAACTTTGAGTGTAGTGAGATTTGAACCCCTGGCAGTCAGCATAGCCTGCGATGCTGCGTTCTGACCCACTGAGCCACCATGGCCCTTCCTTCCTTCCTTCCTCCCTCCTTCCCTTCCCTTCCCTTCCCTTCCCCTTCTTTCCTTCCTTCCTTCCTTCACACTTAGACTTATACACCACTTCGCAGTGCTTCCCAGCCCTCTCTAAGCAATTTACAGAGTCAGCCTCTTGCCCCCAACAATCTGGGTCCTCTTTTTACCGACCTCAGAAAGCAGAATGGAAAGCTGAGTCAACCTTGAACCAGTCAGGATCGAACCCCTAGCAGTGGTCAGAGTCAGCTGCAATGCTGCATTCTAGCCACTGGGGCTCTAGGTCCCATTCTGGAATCTTAATCCCCCCCAAAGCAGAGGCTGGCGAGCGCAGGGATTCCTTTCCCCCGTTCTCACATTGGCTACCCCCTTGCGGAAGGCCTCTCTGGCCAGGACCCCCGGGCCGTCCACCGTCTTCCCGTCATCTTCGGGGCCCCAGCTGGCGCTGTAGATGTCAATGTGTTGCGGCTGGAGGCTCAGCGACTGGGCCTCCACGATGTCGTTCACGTCGCCGTCCAGCATCCTGACGCCTGGGAGGAGAACGAGAAGGAAGCAGGAAGCATTGGGCAAAATTTGCCCTTTGTTTGGGCTGACGGACGTAGGTTCTCAGCCACTATCCAAGCTCAGAATGGAAAATCAAATGGAAGACGTGCGGCCGATGTGACATTCATTCATTCATTCATAGAACTTTAAGCTGCATGGACTTCAACTCCCAGAATTCCCCAGCCAGCTATGCTACAAATCTCCTAAGATGTGCTGCAGAAGTTTTTCTTTTTCATTCATTCATTCATTCACTCATTCATTTTTAAGCTGTGTGGACTTCAACTCTCAGAATTCCCCAGCCAGGTATGATACAAATCTCCTAAGATGTGCTGCAGAAGTCTTTTCTTTTCTTTTCTTTTCTTTTCTTTTCTTTTTCTTTTTCTTTTCTTTTCTTTTCTTTCTTCTTCCTTCCTTCCTTCCTTCCTTCCTTCCTTCCTTCCTTCCATCCATCCATCCACCCATTCAAATTTAAGCTGTGTGGACTCCAACTCCCAGAATTCCTCGGTCATTCTAGGAGTTGAAGTCGACACAGTTTCAAAGTGGCCAAGGTTGAGGGAAAAAATGGCCTCCACCTTAAGCACATAGAAAACAGCTGGTCCACAAACTTGAATGTTTAAAATACATAATTCAGGTAGTCCTTGACTTACGACAATTTGTTTAGTGACCATTCAAAATTACAACGGCATTTGAAAAAAAGTGACTCAGGACGCAATTCAGAAGGAAGCAAAGAAAGGCACTTGGGATAATATTCCTATAAACCGGTGTTTTTCAACTGTGTCAACTTTAAGATGGATGGACTTCAGTTCCCAGCATCCCCCAGCCAGCAAGGACCATGGGAACTGAAGTCCATCCATCTTAAAAACTTTTAACATATGTGTGGACTTCCATTCCCAGCATCCCCCAGCCAACAAGTACGCAGCATGTAAACCATCCCTGTTGGCATTGTGGATTCCAGGAATTCAGATTCTCCCATACAGACCCAGAATTTTTCTGGACCAAGAATTTCCCATGCGTGTTCAGCCTCCTTGCCTCTCGGGACGCACCCGGCAGCTCAAGCCTACTCTAAAAGCACAAAGAGGTCTCGTACCTCCAATTTTGGCCCCGTACGCGATACCGGCTCCGCAGACGTGGTTGTTAGCGGCAGCGGCGACCTCTCCTGCGCAGCGGGTTCCGTGTCTGAAAGAAGAAATGGGCCGAAGAGAGAAGAAAACAGCATCGCGGAGTTGGAAAGGGGACCTTGGGAGGTCTTCTAGTCCAACCCCTTGCTCAAGCAGGAGAGCCTGTTGTCATTCCGCATCAGGGCGTTGGCAGCATGACTACCATTATGGGCCAACTCAAGAGCAAACCACAGCACACAGAGACTTAGACATTTAACAGTGGTTTATATAAAAACAGATATATATAGATATTACACGTGGTAGGCAAAATACCTTACAAGCAATCTTTCTTCTTAACTCTACACTGAGAACTTCTGCAATGAATACCAGACAATAGGAGAGAGAACACGCCCTCTAATGGCTGCCTTTATATAAACACCTCTTAAAGGGGTAGAACCCATCCCCAGTCTTAAAGGGAAATACACAGGCCGTGCTGATTCATTCTTATTGCATCAGCTTCACCGCCGGTCGGCTCTTAAATCCCAGGACCTTAACAATCCAGACAATGGCTGCCTAATCTCTGCTTCAAAACCTCCACCAATGGGAACAGCCACAATTCTGGGACGCAAGCAAGCCGTTCCATGTTTAATGTGAGGGGTGGCAGGTCTTCCGTTGCAGCTGGCCAAATCCTGCTGCCGAGCTTCCAGGCTAATTTCTCTTGAGTGGCGGATCAGAGCTCTGTGAACAGATCGGTTCAGGCCTCAAAGGGGGATGGGAACGGGTCCCCCCCCAAGATCCAGGACCTTGTCTCTGAATATGTACATCTACCACGGCAGCATCGCTTTGCTGTGCTGGAGAACCCACTGCGGTTAGAATAGAAGGGAGAAGGAGGGAAAGAGGAAGGGAAGGAAGGAAAGAAGGGAGGGAGAGAGAGAGAGCGGGAGAGAAAGGAAGAAAGAAAAAGAAAGAAAATAAGAAAGAAAAAAGAAAGGAGGGAGGGAACGGGGGAAGAAAGGAGGGAGGAAAAAAGAAACAAAGGAAGGAAGGAAGGAGAAAGGGAGGGAAGAGAGAGAGGGAGAGAGAGAAGAGAAAGAAAGGAGGGAGGGAAGAGAGAAGGAGGGAGGGAGAAAGGAAGGAAGGAAGGAGAGGAGAGAGTGAGAGAAAGAAAGAAAGAAAGAAAGAAAGAAAGAAAGAAAGAAAGAAAGA